TTAATGTAAAAACATCTTGCATACTTTCAATTTGGCAAAATCTTTTATTAAGTCTGCATAATCAAGAGAGTCGACGATTTTGTGCTCAATTGATATTAATGCTAAGCTCTTACGTCATTTTCAATCGCTCTTGCGTCATGTTTGTTCGCTGGTCACTCATAATCACTTGTTCGCTGGTCACTTGAGTTTTGAAAAGCTGCGTTCTGCAGACGAGACAATTACAGGAACTGTCAAAACGATACGTGATGGAAGAGACATTTGGGAATGAATCTTGCAAATTTTTCTCAAATAGGAATTTCAGACTTTTAAGAGCACCAGTACTTTGTGGCACTAAACCTGCTAAGTTGCGCAATTCGGCACATATATCAGGAGCATCAACATCCGACACAGCAATTTCATCTGTTAAGATATCGCTGAGAACATCGCAACACTTCCTCAGGTCAATTTCGCTCATTCCCGTAATGCATTCGAAATTGTTCAGGGAATCAAATTTGCCATAATAGGCTTCCATCTGGTCAAATCGTTCAGTCATTGACATGACGGCTTGATCTAGCAAGACGTTGAAAAATTAAGCGCGGAATTTATCTTTTAGGATTACGTAACTGCTTATCACGAGGTTCATAATCGAGTGTCCTCCGGACACTATTCTACGTCCTGCGATCTGAGCGGCTAGAAAGTTTATTTCGCTCTTGTCCATCTCCAGTTCTGTAGTTAACTCTTTAGCTGCATCTTGGGCCGAATCGAAACCCGTTTCTTTGTAGGATTTCAGGAAGTCGATTGTGTTCTGAATGCAATTCAAAGCGACATCGAATTGCATGTCTTTACTTTGCAACATTTTGCTCACAATATTAACTCTTCAAGAGATCGTACCATATTACTAACGATACCAAGAAAGGGTAGTGTTTAATTTGGTTTGCCAAACCGGCAGCCTCCGTTCTTGCTTTTGGATCATTTGCACTCTCAGAAGACCTTCAATCAATGCATCATAAATCGATCCTATCTGAAACCTCACAGCTTTACTGGAATCTATTCGAGATTCCCAGCGTGTTTCTGAGATTGGCTTTGGCTTCACTGTAAACGATTTCACATATCGCTTGAGCATATCCCAGCGTTGAGTTGATGCAACAAACAGTAAGTAAATCTGATGCAAAAAAGGTTGATAGTCGTAGTTGAAGATTTCGCATTATCGCTAAGCACTAAGTTTAAGCTGTGACAACAGCATGGAACGCAAAATGCTTTCGGATTTAGCTCAAGTGTGCGTTTTTATACCCCACTGTTCCGTCCCTACACACTGGATTATATTGCATCCGTTATCATATCCTTGCCTCCTCTGCAGTTTTGTATTTTCAAATTTAGTTCATCAAGCTTTTTAAAGCACGCTTCTGTCAAACTCAAACCTGTGCTACTACCTACTGCCAAAAAGCCTACAAAATGCTCACAAATCTCAACTGTCGCCGCATAAACATTGACAGTTCGTATCATCATAGTCATCTGCTCCTGATGGCTTGCATCAGGAGTACGATCTAGCACGATGGATATTTGGCAGCCTGAGCATTTTCAATTATTTTCTTGAGAACCGCTTCGCCCATCAGATGGATGAGTTCATTTTGGATGTGATTCCCTAAATAACGGTCATGTATATCAGCATTTTTGATACGTCGTAGATGCTCACGTAAGCAGGAATCAAATTTACCTAAAAGCTCATGCCAAGAAATTGCCGTTATTAGGTTGCCAGAAACGGTTACTACTGCCACGAAACCCAAATTCCTCTGTGCAAGGACCTGCATGATAGAAAGTAACCTTTTTATGACGTTCTTCCAATGATCGCATTCTCGCTGTAGAAGCAGTTAACATTCTTTATCAGTTGTTTCTTCTAGATTTAGTCTTAGTGTCATTTCATGCCATGCAGGAACAGCGTTCATGTGCTTTGGCGATGATTCGTGCTCACAAAGAATGCTACCAATGTTCCTCCAGTCGCTGTTTCCATCGGTGGTCAGTTTTATTTTTGAATCAAAAACAGCTTACAACAAAAACAAAAAACGACATTTTTCTGTTTCGAATAAACAAGCCAGGTACGGTTCACAGTCTCATCATTTTTCAGCTTGTGCGAGGAAAATGTGGCAGAAAAATGACGTTTAGCTGAAGAATCCTCTTTGGGAAGATATATCGCATCTCTCTGAAAAGGCCCTTCTCAACTAGGAAAATTCGCTCGGATTCATGGATGGAGATGAAGCCATGCTCCTGGATCTTTCTAATCAAATGAAACATTTCGGGAGACATGGTCGTTGTGTATTTCTTTTTGACTTCACTATCATGTTCAATATCTTGTACTGGTAGCAAATGCAAATGACCAGCACTGCCAGCAGTAATCGTTTCATCAACTTCATACAGAGGCCCTGACACCCGACATGTCTTGTTGCTCATTGTCACCTTCACCGAGTCGGACTTCATTGTGCGTTGCTGAACTATTATCCTGTTGTGCGCATTCATCTTCTTTAAGGTGACCCTGCTGCTGACTCACTTGTTCATCGAGAATAGCGGGTAATCGTTCGTCAACAAAAGCATCATTTACTAAGGCTGTTGCATTTGATTTTGATGAGATACCGGCAGCAGGAGTACTATTAGTAGTGTCACGGCTAGAACCTGCTTCATCTGTACGTCTAAGCGACATAGTTCAACACAGCGACGCAATGGAATCTTCTTCAGCGGCGTTTTTCTTACGTTTAGCAGCACCAGACTTATAAGCTCGCTTCATTTTTATAACAGGGAGAACTCGAGGACAAAATCAAAATCGAGTTGTTCGCAAATCAGTGATTACTAGTAATCAGTTACAGTTATACAACTCTGAACGCGCATACAGCAAAGAATGCAGATGGGGACGATCTTACCAAGCGAACCACGTACGGAAGTGCCCCTTTGCGAAATTGTTTCAGATGCATTTTGCTTCGGCTATTTATAAATGAAGAATGCGCTGTGCGCCGACATCCTGGCAGGCGCATCATTATTTGCCCTCTCAACTGGCACTAGGGCCCCCGCCTACGTAATGAGAGACGCTCGTGCTCGGGCCTCCTACGGCCCCGACTGCTAAACAAAACAAAAACAACAACAACAACAACAAAAAAAAAAAAAAAAAAAAGGGCCGTTTGCAAGTCGGGGTCCTAGGTGACAGTCTACTTGGCCTATGTCTAATTAACGCCCCTGATTCCAGACAAAGGCCTAAATAAAACGAAATTATGTTGACCGTGAAAATTGGGGAAGATTTTGCCAAACTTGCACCAGTCATTTCAGCAGAAGGTTGAAAAAACAGATCGCTTTAGTATTTTACATGTACAAATTACAGATGAAAGATTTAAAAAATAAAGAAGTTAGTTAGAAAAAGTTAGGTTAGAAGAAATGGAGTAATATATCCAGTTTCCCATATTACGTACAAGCTACACAAGCTATACGTACCACAAGGAGGTCCCCCCCAATTAAAATATAGTATAAATAATATTAAAATATATTATGACAGACTTATAAAGGGCCCCATATCTCAAATAGCTTAGAACCTTACCAAGTCTAAATCTGACTCTGACTGTACACATTATCGCCAGAAGCTTCTCAGTAAAATTCCATAGTCAACATCAGAAGGTGTCACCTTGTAGAGTTATTAGGTTATTTTGAAGCAAGAGACATGAAAAATGAGCAATGCCCTCGCCGGGACTTGAACCTGGACCTCTCGAATACGCGCCGAGTGTGCTAACCGTTACACCACAAAAGAATACAGAAAGGAGGGAGAAAATACCTTACATACTCCCCCTTTTTTTTAAAAGGCGACTGGGGATTAGGGGACCCAATCGTCAAATTCTAGGGGTGAAGAATCATCATCCACCACCTTTTTAGTTCAGCCACCACTGTAGAGATACTACGATTTTTTTTTTTTTTTTTAAAGTAAGAAACATGAAAAATGAGCAATGCCCTCACTGGGACTCGAACCTGCACCTCTTGAATACGCGCCGAGTGTGCTACCATTACACCACGAAAGCATGCAGAGAGGAGAAAGAAAATACCTTATAACCTTGATATGTCTAAAACTTCTAGAAGAAACTTCCATTACTCATACTTATAGGCATGCCATGACATCATCCTCAGCTTTGCAGCAAATAATATAAAATATTTATTTTGATACGAAACAAGGTTATGTTGACAGGTTTTTCCAAAATGATAAAATTGAAAATAGTGTCACAAGCTATATTATAAAGTATACTGTCGAAAATGTGCAAAGATTTGAAATATTTAAATGAATTAATCATAATTTTGTTTCATTGAATGTATTAATTTGGTGATGTGTTAACTTTAAAGTAATAAAAATTCAAAAGTAATAAATATAATATGAATGTATTATAAATATTAAAAGCATAAGATAATATATCTTATACTCTGATATACTTTCCACGTTGATTTGCTGTCAATGACCTAACAGCTAATAATATTTCATACAAGAAAACTCGAAATTACTGCATACTTTTCAAATAAAGTTCAGTATGTCATGCAGGAAAGTTTTAATGTACTAGAAAATTTTCATCAGTAGAGGTCATCATAATTGTCTTTACAAATAATTTCAGCTGAAGAAGAATAACTATAAATATAAATTTTCATGGGACTTGATTAGGTGAAAAGGGCTTTGCACAAATGTTGTAAAAGATAAAACTTTTTGAGGCAACTACAATGCAAGGAATATATTATCATGCTTAGGTAACCATTTATCTAGTGCTAGAATATGAAATCTTATGAAGATGATCATGCATACCTAAATTTTCTTTCATGTAAACATAATCCTTGAAAATATTTCAGTATAAAATTAGAACTGAAGTGCAAGAAGAGAACTTTTTTTATACTGAAATATTTTCAAGGATTATGTTAACATGAAAGAAAATTTCAGGTTCAACTATGGTAGGAATGAAGACAGCTTAAACATACTTGTTTCATTATACTTGAATATAACAAAAAAGTTGTCTTACCTGACATTGTTGTCGAAGAGGCCGTAATTCTTTTATAACAGGAGCAAGACGAGCTTTTTTTTCAGCAATTTTTAAATTTAACTTTTGAACCATCACAGACATTTCTTCCAGTGTTTGTCCTTTCTTTTCATCAAGTTCAGCTTTAATTGAAGAAACCTTTTCTAACTCATCTTGAGCTGTGTGGAAGCCACTCACTCCTTTCTGCATTTCCAGTTGAGCCTAAGATATAATTCAAATTTTTTCTAGCCAAATTCAAATAGCCTCCCAACTTACATAATATGCAACTTATGTAAATTCACAGTTATATAAATATGCAAAAGCTGTAACATTCAAACTGAAACCTACTAATTAGAACTAAGTAAATAATTCTTCTTCTTCCTAACTCATAATTCATGTATTCAAATAATATTCATTTAGTTAATTTTATCTCTTGTTCAATACCATTAGTGTTCATAATTTAGTAACCCTTAAAATGGATTTGACATTCAAAACTGTAAGCTCTTGTAATAATAATAACATCAATAAGGTGGAAATTTCTTTAAATAAAAAGTTGAAAATAATTTTTATGTAAGAAGACAAGAAAAATATGCCTAAATAGCTTGGGATATCAATCAATCACTACTAGCCTTGGCACATTTTAGAGATGGATGAATTTTTGTTTCATTGAAGTTCTGAAACAAAAGGGGATTTCATTGAGTTTTTTTTTATTATTATCTAGAAGGATAGGTTTTTTTACAAGAGAGGACCGGCATTATGTGATAGTGCATTGAAAGCTAGTGCTGAACTATTCAAATGATTCAAGAAACTTACAAATACAGACAGTATCAAAGTCATGCATGTGACAAAAAAGTGCAGCTAGAGATACTGCTAGAGAGAGAGTAAATTTTTCCAAATTCCAGCAGATATTATTGAGAAGACCGAATATTTGCCAGAGCAAATATTAAATATTGACAAAATGGCTGGTTGTGAAGAGGCTACCAACATCGATATTTATTGCAAACAACTAAAAATCTACACCTGGATTCAAAGTCATAAAGACTGGATAATTATTATGATCAAAGAATTGAACAAACTCAGCAATTGTGGACTAATTATCTCCCAAACGCATCTCATCATTGTTCCCTTTAGTGATTTTGTTTCAAAATAATGCATTTCTAAAGAAATTTTACCGCAGTTTCTTCCGTTCCTAGCGATTTCCATAAGTGATGTTTTAGAACTGAGTTGAAGGGGGGAAAATATCACGATTTGTGTATAAAAGTCATTGGAATTTGTAATACAATAAAAAGAAATACATAACAAAAATGGCAATGTTGCTTGAAGTATTGTCATAAGCATGACTGCCTGAAGAAAGTTTATGTGTTACCGTTTAACACATTCTGAATATTTGGCGACTTATACTATGGTGATTGTGATAATACATAAGTACCTATTTTTTATACTTTTATAGTTTATATTAAAGTAAATAGTACTGCACATTGTTTCATTTATGAAATAATGTGCAAATAATTATATAGATACACATCATACCTAATATTGAAGTTTCTTATAAAATAAGGTTTAAACAATTTACAAATTTGACTTACATAAAATTCAGGTTGTGTAAAGTTTCATAGAATGCATTATGAATGGAACTCAACAGTTTACTGTATAGATTATTTTAAACCAAAGTTATAAAAAAATCAAATATATACATAAGCACAGTTTATTTCTATCATTATAAAAAAACACTAACATGATATTTTCAAATATCGTTTATTTGAAATTGTACCTGAAATTTTATGCATACATCCAAAGTGATGGCTTTGAATTGTAATTATTTGTTAATTGGGCAGCACTATATTTTTAAATGTGATTACAAAACAAAGTCTGGACGTCTGGATGAAATACAGTGCAGTATAAGAATATATAAGTGAATGCTGAAACTAATTTTTAAAAAGTATATATTGTATTTAAATGTGATTACAAAACAAAGTCTGGACGTCTGGATGAAATACAGTGCAGTATAAGAATATATAAGTGAATGCTGAAAATAATTTTTAAAAAGTATATATCGTGTTGTTTAGTATTTTTATCTTTATAATTTTACCTTTCGGAGTTTAGCTCTCTTGTTAGTACCTTTCTAGGGATAATTTAATAAATTTTCAAGTTGACCTATTTTTGTCTGTCCTAGAAAACATATCTGTATTCTTAATTTTACTGACATGCTGCTGTGATTTGATTGTTTTTTATTTACATACATGCTGCTGTGATTTTGTTTTCATACTGTAAACTACGTTAAAAATATTGTTAATCGTTACCATACTGTTTAAAAAATTTGACAAAAGAAATGCTAAGTTATGAACATTCGGACAAGATTCAGTAGATCCTGATCAGCTGCAGATCAAAAAAGAAGTTTTGAAAGTATTTCTTCAGTCCACTTATAGATTGTGCAATTTCTTTGTTGAAGCAGAGATCTGAGCAGCTCAACATGGTGAGTGTATACTGGTTATTTCTTTTATGATGTAAAGAAATTTGTCGGGAGCCCATTAGAAGAAAATATCAAAAATTTTGTCATTGGTGTTGCAGCATGCTACACCAATGATAAGTGAGAGTACATTAAGTAGCCAATCTGATTGCCACATAATTTTGAAATTTACTGAATCTTATTTCTGAAATGGTGAAAAATATTGAAAGACACTACTTACATTTAAATGTCCTCTTTACAAGATACTTTCCAAAGGTATACCCTGCTCACACACACAGTTTGTTTTAACTATTCCTGTCAGATAACTACAACAAAGAGGAGTTTCTTCAAGTAAAAAAAATAAGCTGATAAAAGCTCACTTAAGGTCATGTTTAAGTAAAAAAAAAGGTTCAATTGCTTTGCATGTCTGTGGATAGAAAATCATACTGCTAAAAATTATTGATAATAACACCTTCAATGACTTGACTTTATGGGAAACATGTAGAGCTCATTCATAATATATTGCAGATGTTATGAGTAACTATATAAAGATGCATTTTTGCTTGAAATATTAATAACTTTAAATTATACAGAACAGCAAAGCAACAGCAATGATTGCATAAGGCGTCAAAAATGCTGGAAGTTCTCTGATTTTATTTATATTTCTTTACAGTGGTAAAAGATAAAATATGAATAAACTTTTTGTAGTTTGGTTGTTAAGTCCAAAAAAATAATGAAAGTGGAAATGAATGAGAAATTTTTATACACTATACATTTAGAACAAGGTAATACAATAAATGAATAAAATAAGTAGTATCACAGTTAATTAAAATACTGAGGAATTAAGAAAAAAATAAAGAAAAGAAAAACTAAAACAAAAAAAGGGGGGGAGAAGAAAAGAAAAAGAAAGAAGAAAAAAAAAAAAGAAGAAGAAGAAGAAGAAAAGGCAAAAAATAGTACATTGAAAACATCATATTATCAATATATTATCTATAATTTTTTTCAAATAAATCAATTTATTACCTATAACTTTTTTTTTGTTCCTTCCCTTAAAAAATTACTATTATAAATCTGTTAAAAAATTGTAATCATAAATTTTGTAATCTAGTTTTTAAAGCCATTTTTGTGCATAATATAATTTTTAGCAAAACCAATTCTTTCTTATCAATAAAATAGTTTTTTTTTTCAAAGGAAATTTAAAAGCTTATTAAATTGTTTGCAGGTTTAAAGTATAAATTTTGCAGTGCACAGTTATAATGTAAACTCTTATTTTCTACGCGTTTTATTATAATGCCTATATTGCATTGTACCCACCAAAGTTTTTGTTACAGCAGATTCTTTTTGTTGTAAAATGTCAACTGTTCTTGATAGGATGCCACATTCAGTTTTCAATTCAGCCATTTCTTGACGTTTCTTCTTGTATATATTACTTTTTCCTCTCAGCTTATTAACATAGCGTTTAAACTAAATGAAAAAAATATTTAGTATTAAATAACAGAAATCAGTTCTTTTTCTTTAGCATAAAGCTTACAAAATTTGTCAATAAAATGATAGTAAAATTTAATTTAACAAACAATTTTAAATATATGCATTAGTAAAACATATAAAAATGTATCGTTTAAATCTGTTTTTATTTTTATTTTTTTACTGTGATTATTGAAGTCACTGAAAAGCTAAATTTTTGCTTTTAAATGAGTATTTTTCAAAGCTAAGTAAATGAAGGAATGTGGATATATTGCAAATATTAGTAGTCAAAAGCTGGATTTACTGGATTTTACACAAAAAGTGATAAATTATCAGTGTTTTAATTAGTACAGTATAATATTATGGTATTATAGTAGAACCGGATTTAAATCTTAACAGAAGAATAATTTTAAATTTTAAATAATTGGTAAAAAACAATAAAGTTTAACAGTTCATCATGCAAATTTAATTAGACCCATAGAACTGTTTTAATGTATGTTTTATGATTAACATAATAATATGTCATAATTATGTGGACAAACTACACAGGAAAATAGTAAATAAAGTTTACAGTTTAGTTATGATGCTTTTCTGCAAATGTGGAAAATCATCATAAAAAAACGTGAAGATAAATGTTAAAAATTTATGGTATAAATAATAAATGAATCAGAAGACTATGGATAAACAATTTTAAAACTCTCTTAAATTTTAATACTTTGAAAAAAACTATTTTTTGTTAAAATTTACTGTAAAATGAGTACTTGAAATGTTTGATTATCATTTTTATAATTTTAGTAATTATTTTAATTTAACTGCTGTTTACATGTTTGTGTATGAAATACTCTATACTATGAAATCATATCCAATATTTCTTTTAGTAATGTCTGAATTCACTGTATATAGGAACATACAGTTAAAAATAATATATAAAACAAAAATGCTATCAGTGTTCTATGTATAAATGCTTAAATTTAGAATATTTTGGTAAGTAAACATAATGCGCTTTATGCACAAAATGCACCATAATGCAAATAAATAAAATATACATCTTGAACTTAAAAAAAAAAAAAAAAAGTATTATTACCATGATACAGAGCTCATCTGTGAAACCATATCATAGTGATACACACAGTCATTTAAATAATAATTAATTTTTATTTAATTATAAAATTAAACAAAAAAATAATTAAAACATTGTATCTGTTAGGTAATGCTTAAATATTAAACATGTACCACAATAACTATACATAGTATAAAGCTCACATATACATAGTACAATACTAGTATAAAGCTCAAAAATGGTATATTTTTTAATGAATATGAACACATTTGTTATTGGTAGGCAGAATAATATATATTTTTCATAATATTATCATCCAACCATTTTATGTTAATCTTAGCATAAAATGAATTTTCCATTGAATACAAATACAAATTTAAGGTATCCACATTTTTATAAGTGAACTGAAAATTCAGTTTAAGATTCCTAGTTTACAGAAATAAAATATTTGTATTTTAGTTTCTCTTCTTCCCCCCTTTTTCCCCCTATTCCTAATTTTTTAACCTGAAATTTAATTTGATAAATAGTATAGATTTCATATGAAAATCTATACTATTTATCAAACAAAGCAAAATAATGGTAACTCATACTTTTGCTCAACTTCTTGTATTTTAATAAAATTAACTATCTGTTTTAAGCTTTGAAACTTATCACAGTAAGCTTTCTTAATTTATATGGCCCAGCTAAATAAATTCAGAATAACCAGATAAATAACTAGCTTAAATTTGACACTATAGTGCTTCTTCCCCCTCCAAAGAAATTTTGAGATTTAAAATTTAGGACTGTAATTTGCCTTTTGAACACTTAACATTTATACAATTTGTGAAAAACTTCCAGTTTGAACTTTTATATTCTATAGTTACAGCCCATTACTTTAAAATTGTCAAGGTCTTTCACATCCTCCTCCTTTCTGACTGTAACACATATCTTCATCACTGTATGTATTTTTTCCACCTCATTTGAGAATGTAGTTCAAGACAGCCTTCACTTATGCACCTTTCATGCCGTGAAACACAGTAAATGGAAATGAAGTCGGAAAAAAACAATTGCAGGACTCTCTCATGCTCTGCTGCAGCTGTCGCACAATTATCAGGCAAGTTGGCAGAAGAAAATGACTGTGAAGTTCATGTACTAAAGTAACAGACTCAGTTGCAGCTATTAAGAGGGGATGACATTTTTTATTTAAATAATTGTAATAATATGAAATAAAATATCAATATTTGAAAATTATGGTTGTTACTAACCAAGGTCATTTAATTTTCAGAATCGTTTTAAGCAATTACAAAAGTTATTAATTAAAAAAATACATTTCAATACCATATATATAGGTCATTATTTATATTAAGAATTAGAAATCCCTAATTTACGAAGTCAAAATATAGGACCCTCTATTTAATGGGAAACATTCTGCCTTTGTGAAGCACTCAGAGGAAAGTAAATCTCATTTGCATTGTACATGAAGTAAATACATTATTATAATTTGCCCCAAAACAGTATTAGATATTTTTTTTTAATAAGGAAACATAATGTGTACTTCATCTCCTTTAAGATATTCTCCTTCAGAACCTTTGTTGTCTGATTTCCTGGTTTCCAACTGCGCTTGCAATTCTACTAGCTGTGCTCGAGCTGAATTAAGATCTTCTGCAGCTCTCTCTTTTTTATGTGCTAAGATTGATACCTGTAAATTCAAACCTTAATTATAGTGATTAATAAAATAAGCATCTTTAAAGATGAAGATAAAGATGAAGTCTTTAGGAAAAATTCAGTAATTTTGCATTGATTTTTGAGAAATGTTTGCAGAATTTAAAAAAAAAAAAAAAAAAAAAAAAAAAAAAAACTATAGCATTTATTAAAAAAAAATCTTGTAAATAATGCTTGTAAACATTTCTCTAAAATAAAAACAAAACAAGGGTTGAATTTTATGTAAGATTTAAGAAGGCTTGCTTCAATGACATTTATCAAAATTAGTATCTGTTGAAATTTACCATATTTATTAAAAATTATAATAAAACAGTATTGCTAAATCTAAATTAAAGTATTATATGGTACAAAGTATTATCTAAACAATTTCATAAATAAAAAATTATGCATTTATAATAAAAATAAACAAATTTTATGACAAGTAAAAAAATTAAAATATTTATTTTACCTGTTGTCTAAAAAGTGATAATTTATCATCAATTGGATTATTGTTTCTCATACGATTTTCAATGAACTCATGTATTTCATTATTAACTTCTTGAATCTGTGAAGGCAGAAAATAAAGTATTCAGAAATTCACAAATATTTTTTATCAAAATGGCAAACAGAGTTAACTTTTATAGCAAACAGATAATTTTTTCAGTAAGTTAAAATATCTATAAAAATTTCTTGATATATATGTATATAAAATTAGTCAAATGGATAAGAGTGATTTCTGAAGATTAATAAAAATCTATTAACAGAGAAAAAGTGGAAGCAAATATAATATTTCTGGATCTTATATTATAGATTACATTTTATTATTAGTTGTTAAAAAGAATCTAACCAATAAACATTGCCTCTCTGCCTGTCTTCTTAATGCATTGAACACAGTTTTCAAGCATATGATCTGTTCTTTATTCTGCAATCGTCTACAGATTATTATTCATTAAAACGTGTTAAAATTTGTTATGCATCCATAATCCTAAATTTTTAATAAAAAATTTCTTATATACGAAAAGTTATAAATTGTTGTTCTACAAGAAAGAAAGAAAAAATGTATTATGCAAAGTTCAAATAGAATTTAAAATCAGTAAAATAATTAAAAGTCAGTTATAAAATAAACTGTTCATTTACAAAACTGAAAATATTTTTGATATGATAAATAATTTAACATATCCATGCATACTGATGACTAGTTTTATTTTTGTTAAAATTAAGATATCTTTTTTGAGGAATCCTAAAAAAATTAGTACTTGAAAATTAAAATACGCACAAAATAAGAAAATTATAATTTAATTATTTCTCAGAAATATTGCTTATTTACTTTAGTAAAAAAGTCATTTGTAAAATCATTTTTAATTTATGGCATTATAATAGTGTATTTATATGTATATAAACAAATTTTAAGTCTGAAAACATAAGAGTACTTTTTGGGGGTGTATTTTCAATTTTGGTGTCCTCATCGTAAATACCTGAAAGTAATAGTAAATACCTTAGTCCTCATAGTAAATACCTTAAAGTGAATAGCATCAAATTTAATATATCATTTTTTAGTTAACCTTTAAACAAGCAATATATTTCACAATAAAATTGAATTTTGTGACCTACATTTATTTTAATCTTTAGTGATTGATGAAAAATTGTTTTGCATTACGCCTTCAAGATGAGAAAAAAAGATCTTCAAGATGCAAGTAACTTTTGCGAACATGCAGTGTTTGGTAATAGTATAAGTTCTATGTTGGAATTTATTGTAATGCTTCTATGTCCAGTGTTCAAATATAGTTTTATTTTCCTTTTCACTAGAATTTATATTGCTATCCTTATTATTTTAACCCATTTCACTTCGCCTCTCAAAGCCAGAAAAATTTAATTCAATACATCTTTATCAATAAAGGTTCCAAGAATTTTTTTTCTTCCTTTCATATGATATTGACAGTTTTTTCATATTCGAGGAGAAAAAAATTACTTTTTATGAGTTGAAAAGTAATAAAAAACAAAGGAAAATAATCCAAAGAAACATTTTTGACTCCTCCTCCCCCCCAAAAAAATCAAATGCATCATCAGTATATGATATTCTATCATGCAATACAATACATATCATCAAATCTTTTACTAATGATACCTAACATAATCTAGAATACAATTTTATTAAACCATTTAATTGCTTATTGACAATATTTGTCATAAAGTAAAATTTTATTGAATTACCTATTTCTGATACTTCTCCTTAAAAGGTTTTACATGAAAAACTTCAACTTAACTGTTCTACTAAATTAGTAATTCATTACTAATTTAACACAAGTTATTTCAAAGTAAAATTGTAATGATACATAATAATTTCAAAGTAAAATTATAATAAATACACTGCTGGCCATCCAAAATGCAAGATGAAGAAAGAAAAGAGATACCAACGTCAAATTTATTTCAGAGATTACACATAGGATCAATGGTAAGTATCAGTGATGTTAATTATTTGAGGTGAGCAAGACCAGAAAATCAGTAACGAGTGTTGCCTTCACATTTGTCAGTAACCGCTGCTACACACCGCGCCAACGATTGGGTGTGTTGTTGGAGAATGGCAGCTCATACTGCTCTCACACGTAGTCAAAGTTCATTTGTTACACCTGCGGGTGCAGCATGCCGGCTAAGGCGTTATCCAGCTATTGAACATACATGTTTGATAAGCGATAGATCTGGAGAACGGACAGATCACGGTAAAAATGTAATATGGTGGACTAAGAAAAAACAGTGCAATGTGTGGTGGCGCACTGTCTTATTTAAATGTGGCTGCAGGTAATCTCTTGACGGTACGGAAAAAGAACCGGCTGATTAAGTGTACCGATAATGCTTTCTAGGGCGTGCGGCAGTGGAATCTAATATCACCCCACAACATAGAGTGTAGGACCATAATGACGATGCCTAACACAACAGTCGCGCTTCCTCACCAAACTCTAAGCCGATCATCGTGGTGATGTACGCAGAAGCGTGATTCGTCCGAAAACACAATGTCATTGATTTGAATGTCCATCTTCGTCTTTCAGAGCAAGTGCAGATGACATCGATTGTTGTGTTACAGACTGCATTCGTTGTGATATGGTCGCGAATGTGGCAGTGGCGTAACGAGGGGTGGGGCAAGGGGGTGTATGATGCCCCGGGAGCATATTTCAAAAGTGCACATCTGTGTAGCCACCGAGGGAGTGGCTTCTAGGATGGACCAATGAGCATCCAATGATGTTTCTGTCATGTCACATGACCTTTCGCGTGCTTTAAGATTTAAGCAAGATGGTTGAAAATATTCTGCCACGCAATTTTCTGTACAAAATAATTAAAGCATCGTCGATTGCTTCTGAAACCTTTCATTGCGAAGTTAGATCAAATATAGGCAATTATGAAGATTTCACTACCTAATTGAAATAAATACAAACACATGTTGGACACTTCGCAAAAATATCGATCTGAAATATTACTTTATAAGTGGTAAATAAGATGAAGAAAGAAATATGTGACAAACATCTGAGCCCAAATGCAATCTTTACATAAATCTATGCGTATGAGAAAAATATTTACACCTGTTATATATGTAAATAGAAGTCAGCACTTTTTATTGCAGTCTATATGAAAAAGATGTTTCTATTAATAATAACCAATGCAGAATTTTACTCAAAGCGAAACTTTACTAATTTGGCATTCGTATACATTTAGTGTGTTAAATTTCTCATTTAATAACTGGCTGTTAAATGTACTGTCTAGACAAGAAATAATACTCATCAAACAGAGTGAATTTATCTTACTCACAACGAATATATTCAATTTATTTACATATAATTTTTAATATTAGCAATAGATATAATCAGATCATATGTATTCTGAATCTTACACTTTAAAAATCAAAAGAATGCAAGCACTGAAATAAGAAAACACTACATTCATTGCAAACCCAGTCATTGTCAGCTCAATTAAAAAAATATACACTTGAATTCTCTTAATGCACATAATATTCCGTGAACATCAATCCAAATATTAATGCGTGATAAAAATCGCGAAAGGAAAATGCCAGCGATTAATTAAACTCAAAAAAACGAAAGCACTACAAGATTTCTACTATTACGCCATATATTTATAACTGCGAAACAAATGCAAATTAAAACGTAAACAGCACACGCTCACATGCACGAAGATTTAGCGTCACAAGAGCAATGGTAGCTCATTGGTCCATTTTCGAAACTCCTCCCTCAGTGGCTACGCTGATGTGCACTTGTGAAATATGCGCCCCGGGAGCCGCTCGCAGAGGGGCGCCAAATGGTCTCCAAACAAGATTTTCATCATATCACTGTGTTTTTTTCGGGTAAGCGGGGCGCCAGTTATGCTCGCTACTCCACTGGAATGTGGCAGTGCGAGGAATCAATGCCATGCGCACAATATGGCTCTCTTCCTGTGGAGAGGTACGATGAAAAACTGCTCCTGGCCGTTAGTCGTTCCCTTCTTTATCAGCTGATTTCATAGTCACATGACTGTTGTTTGGTTGACTGTTGTTGACTATGTCCAACATGATGATCGATTTCAAAGGAGGATAATATGCATTCTCTGTATACAAAGATTCTGTCCCAGTCGAACTTAACGTGCTCGAATGATGCTCTATTAGCAATGGATTGGTTAGTAGGCAGCCTGAACGAGGTAACTTAAAGTAACAACTGTAGCCAAAGATCATTTTTGGTCACTGTCAGCTACACGAATCCATGAAAAACTGCCGAACTTTGGGTTTAGAACTTCAGGCTTCCATTAGAACTCACCAGCCATGCTATTACTGCATAGAAGCTTCACAAAGTTGGACTTTATGCAAGAAAACCAATGTTTTGTGACCCACTCTATCTTCCAAAGGGGAACATTTAAGGTAGTGTAATAATCATGTTCAATGGCGCCAAGATGAATGGAATTGAGTACTGTTTGCTAATGAATCTAAATATAGTCTGAACTTTGATTATTATGGACCTGTTTTGATCTACACAGAATGAACAAAACTCAACTTTCTTCCCTTGTCCATGAAAGATTCCTTTTCCATAAAGGAGTTCCATGGTTTGGGATGCAATGCTCAAGAAATAGCTGCATTACGCTGCATATTTTATGGAGGTTCTTAAAACAGTCACAGATATGAGGACAAAATCTTGAGACCCCATGCAATGGTGCTTAAGGGTGCTGCTGGCCCGAATGTTTTGCTAAGAGATGACAGTGCTCATCCCCATAAGTATCTTTGTCACGGTACTTAAAAACAGAAGCTATCATTCAAATGGATTTCTCAGCTTACTCATCAGATCTGAACGCAACTGAGCATGTGTGAGATGTGTTGTGTTTTAAGCATTTGTAAGCGTATGTGAGATGTCCTGTGAATTAAGCATGCTGCATCATGCTAAATGCGTTCTTGCATCAATATCTGAGGTTTGCATTTCTGTCAGAGGTGACCATACACAATATTAAAGAAAAATTAAATTCAAAAAGAGAGAATTATTATTATTTATTTTTTTTTAATTTTGATACATTTGATTTTAAATTCAATACTTTCAGATTAATCAGCTGACTACCATGTTAATTTATGTTAAATAATGCTTTTTTACAACTGGTTTTAAATACATAAAATGAAGTGTTTTTACTGTCAACATCCTTTAATTTTGATGAACATTTCTATGGTAGCAAGAAAATCGCAGTGCTGTTTTAAAAACATTATTAAAATATTCTGCAGCAGATAGAACTTGTAATATAGCATCATATTTTCATTCAAGAGTGTTTCCTATTTTGTTTCTTGCCATAAATTACCTTTTTGTTTATTTGTTCCAAATCGGCATGACTCAAGGCAGGCTGTGAAACTATTTTTTGAAGATCTGAAATATATTTCCTCTGAGATGCCATTTCTTTTGGCAACTTCTCTTTTACCAAATAAGAGTTTACTTTTATGCTCTCTTCCAGTTTTTGAACTAAAGCTGTAATGAAAATATGGAAATTTTTAAAGCAATATTTATCAAATTCTTTAAATAAGTTTAAAAATAATATGATGTAAATTTTTGAAGCTATAAATTTATACACAAAAGTATAAAAAATAAGCTAATTTACACATATGTATTTAAACAGCATTATATATACCTTGGTAATACAGTAAAAAGTCGTTAATTCGGACACCCATAATCCGGAATGATCTATAATCCGAACTTCAAAGCTAAAAATTTTCTGCGCATGCGCCGCGTTGACACATGCGCACAGGCATTTACGGCGTGCGCGTAAGACCTTTACGACTGCGCATATGTGTGTGCGCAAGCGCAAAATACGTTTTCGCGTGCGCGTTTTATGTATAACGGACGGTATATGCTAAAATTATCTATTTCAGTTAATGTTGATGATTGCGTTGTTCCTTAATCTTCAAATTATTTCCGGCTTATTATTTTTTGCAGACTGTAAGAGCAATTTTATAAAAGTAAACTTGAACTTTCGATTATGTCAAATAGAATTTCCGATACTGGAGCTCCCAAAGGATCTACAAAACGAAAGTATGTTCCGATGTCCATCAAACAAAAAGTGGAATTGCATCAAAAATGGATAAAGACATGAAGAAGGTGACAGAGAGGTTAGTGAAAACGAAAAAATTTCGATTGACAAGTTAGTCGGTATTCTCGGCACAGCAATTACGGGACTTGAACAGCGGAACTTTGTAACTGAACAAGAAATTATGTCTGTTTATAGAATTAAAGAGAATGTATTATCACATAAAACGAAGCAACTTAAACAACTTACATTGAAGAGAATGTTTAATAAAGTAAACAAATAAATATTAAGCTTTTTTTTTTCTAAATTTTGATACCCTTTAGATCATAATTGTTCTTTATTTCATAAATTACGGTTTCATATTTTTAATTTTAGAATTTCTGCATGCCATCTTACGAGATTTAAACTGATGATCTATAATCCGGAACAATCGATAATCCGGAATCGTCGATGTCCCGACGAGTCCGGATTAATGACTTTTGACTGTAATATGTTCTAGTATATATGTACTTTGAAGAACTATTGGCAAATTTTACTAAGAGCTACTAAACTATTGGTAATCATGTTGTATGTGATGTGTTGCTTTCAGTTAGCTATTTATTTCTGTAGCACTAAAATGCTATTTTTAAACACGAATGTATGATAAAATGGTCATAAAAAGAAATTATCAAAATAACAACCTATTTTTGTACTGTCATCTAAAATATAAATAATCAACTAAAAACAGAAGATTGTATATTAAATAATTACTGAAATAATTATTGAAACATATATTTTAAAATCTTGATCTTAAACTATAATATAACACACAATAGTATTTGACTTGTAAAATGTACTAAATGCATCATCATTTGTGACTAAAACTGATTGTAAATCTATTATCTCTAAACCATTTTCTGACATACTGTGTGTATTTTTCCGTTTAAATGCATGAATATACTTGTATCACTTCTTTTATTTTTTTATTAATTTAATTTTTTACTGAAACTGAAATTATGAAAACTGAACTATTGAAATTATGATCAAATGAAATAATGAGTTAACAACAGGTGGAGAAAACCCCTGAAATTTTGATGATTGATATGATTGAGCATCCTTTTTTATTAATTTTGTTTAGGTACAAGTGGCAGCCTAGTAGTATATCATAGATATTTTAATTAGAGTATTAGTTAACCAATATAAAAAGGAATAAATATACTAATGAAGACCATTGTCCAAAACCAGCATGAGTTAGTTTTTGTACAGAATCTAATGACACATTAAAAATGTTTAAAAATTTAATGCTAACAATATTATATATGTATATATATATATACAATTTTCATAATTCTTTTTTTAAATATATAATATGCTGTTATATATTTATAAAGGGAAACATTCCTATCAATAAAGAATGGCATTGGAGTAAAAGACGGCAAGTAAAATATGAAAATAAAGATTAAAAACATCTAATTATATAACCATTTAGAATTTTTTCCATGTTTTGGAATGAATGTGACAACTTTTGATATCTAAAAATATTATAGATTAGCAAGTTTAACCTCAGTTATGGAAAATGTGTTTCAGAGATTAAAGAATAAACATAATAAATATATTAAGTTCATTTTATATGATATCAGCTACGTTTTAAGGTATGAGCCAAATGGGCCAGGGCCCACTGCCTCGGCACCAGAGGGGCCTTGTCTCGTTATTTACGCGGCTTCAGAAAGATTATCGTGTGTCGTGCATGTCTAGGCCTACCGTCGTGCGTCCTACCGCCATACACTATTAATTACTAATTTAGTCGAAAAGATGTAGCTAGTCGAGTCGGTTTGTGAGATTGTGAGCCACGCACATGTATTAGGGTGTAGAGATTTATATTTATTTTAACTAAAAATTTAAAGTTTTAAGTTCAGACTTTTCTATAAGCTATCATTCTCCTAATTGTCATTGTCAGAATAGGTAAATGTTGTAGCGCGCGTGAATGAATGCAGATTTTGTACTTTGAAGGAAGTATTTAAAAGTCGAATTTCGGTAGGAGTTTTTAGAGAGAAAGTTAGTATCTAGCTGCAACCTCTGCCGTAGATACGTTTGCTTATTTCTGGTTCAAATGCCTTAATTGCATTTCTTTGCTACCACTAGCTTCGAAGGGAGTTTAAGTTACGTATCTCTCTGAGCCCTGTACTTTAGTTCTATCGTTTGTTAATATCTTCCAATTTTTAGTTTAGTTACTTGATTTTTCAGTTACCGCCAAGCAGAGGCGAAGCTTGTTAGCGTCGAGTTGACGCATTGTTAATTTTAAAGAGTTAATAAAGGGTACTTTAACCCTTCCCTTGTGTATTTTCCTGCTACTCCAGTTCTCAGACACAAGTTTCTCTATTAGACCCTACATTGGCGCCCGAATTAATACGCAAACCTGATGGCCAACGAAGAAGTATCTCCACAAGGCTCCGAAGTGGCAGACACAATGGTGACAAACCCTCTTGACGGATTTGGCTTCCTAACACAGACAATGAGGGCGACAATTAAACCAGCAGCAAAAACTCCATCACCTCATCTCTGGAAGCCCTTGACATTAACTTCCAATTGCATCCGGTAGCGGAAAGGCAGAAAGTAGCTATGGCTTCGAGTGCCCATCGAGGACAGCCACAGGCGTGGTGGAATGGAATTGTGAAATTCCTACTCGGCGAAGTTGGATCACTCACCTATACTTTCGAGAATTTCAAAGAGGCACTCCTAAAAGCGTTCTCGATAGTTAAAGACCGTGCCAAGCTTGAAGCCGAATTATACAGTTTTTATCAATGGAGGGTTGAAGAACTTATCGAGTTTATCCTGCGAAAGTCAAGCTAGTGAACATGCTGTACGGTAGGAAAACCTTCAGCGAAGTTATCGAAATCATATTGCCACGATTATTACCCTTCGTTCAAGACTTCGTGGAGCTACGAAATCCTCAGACGCTGGAAGAATTATTCCAGTTAGCTGTAAAGTTTCAGAATCGGCGGATAGCAGAAGAATCAAGATTTCCGGCACCAGAGATCTAATCAGCAGTTCTCCAAACAGCCATCCGCGGAAAAAAATAAATACTACGGGGGAATACGGTTCTCAGCTAAGCCGTCAACGAGCAAGAATGATAAGGATAAAGCCAAAACCCGCCAGCGTACCCAGAAAACATCAAGAGTAAAAACGCCTTTAAACGAATAGAGGAGCCTGATAATTTGAGAGGGTCCAGACCCCTTCGGCATCGAAAATCCCTCTAAAATGTATTTAAATACTGTGGTTGTGAAAAATTGCCAATTACCTGTAATACAGGTTCTTTTGAATAATGTACACGCAGAAGCATTCGTGGACACCGGAGCTGAAGGGAACTTTCTAAACCTAAATTTTGATTATAGAAATTTTAGAAAAGTTAGGTTATTTAAAAAGAATACGACGGAAATAATAGCCGCTCAAGGGAAAGTGCGCGAATGCATCGGTAAACTATCACTTAACGTGCAGGTTAAAGATGAAAATCTTAAAATACTATTTTACGTGGTGAAAAATATGCAGAATAAAGTAATTCTGGGAACTCACCTTCTGAGGGCGGTAAACGCCAGAATTGATTTTTCGAGTAACTCAATTACATTAGACATGAAGTCAAGGGTGGTGGAAGCTGCTGAAAAAGTTCCAGAAATCGATTCCAGCATTTAAAGCAAAATGAAAGAGCCAAGCTGAAAGAAATTGAAAGTAAATTTCTTCATTATTTTCTGATAAGCCAGAGAATACCCAGATAACTCATTCTATCGAATTAAAATCAACTGAATCTTGTAAAGTGAAACCATATAGGTACGATAAGGAGAAAGAGGCCATCATTGAGTACCATATACAGGAGATGCTAAAAAATAAAATTATAAAATAACTCCCATAAATAGTAAATATGCAAGCCCTGTTGTGCTCTGCAGGAAAAAGAACAATTTGCTCCAAACGGATCCAAAAGCATATCTCTTGATCTATATCTGGCTTATTGATTACAGAAAACTCAATAGTTTAACTAAATTTCCGGTTTACCCTTTACCGGTGATTGAGGAGATAATTAGGAAAATAAGATCTGCAAAATTTATGACCACTCTCAATCTTACTTCAGGCTATTTTCAAATAGCCATAAAACCTGAAGACGTAAATAAAACTGCCTTTATCACAAAAATCAGGCACTATGCGGTTTTACGCATGCCTTTCGGGCTTTGCGGGGCACCCTCAACTTTTCAACGTGCCATGGACATTATTTTACGTCCTGCCCTCGGGAAATCCACTTTAACTTATTCAGATGATGTCATCATAACAATCGATAACATTGACGAACATATAAAAGACCACCACGAAGTTTTTTCATTATTGAAGGAAGCGAGATTAACCGTAAATGCATCAAAATGCAAAAAAAGTTCGCAACGAAAGAATTACGATATCTAAGGTACAAAACTTCAGCTAAAGA